TCACTTTAACCCCACCTGTGAAACACGAGTGGGAAACATTTGGTTTTAAGTTACGTATTGTATAGTTTCTGGCACTGCCATGTTGTTTGTGAAGAGGCCAACACATATGGATCCTGGTACCACATAAACTGGGGGGATTGTGTTTTGTTTGATTTGTGAAATCAACATTTAATGGCATACTGCAAGGTCAGAGTCCTAAATCCAGCACTGCGCCTGTGTTGTTGGAGTAACACTGCAGCTCAGTGCAGTAACATGGTCGACACAGTGTTTCTGAAAAAATAACATTAAACTAAGAAAGCCGAAAAAGTGTCTGTTTCAAGGGTTTCTGGCTCCTGATGCACAGCTGCAACAAAAGTTTATTGAAGGTTTTCATGTAATTATGATTATTAATTTTCTTTTCTTTTTAATTTGCACGTTCATTTTCTCTCAGATGGCAAGCCAATCAGTTTACACGCTACATGTCAAGTATAAAACTTAATATCTGAATGAACATCAGCAGCTGTGATTTGGTCTGATCCCCCCTGAACCTGAATCCTGTAAAATACAACAATGTTCAGAATTCTTATTGTGAAAGTGCCACACATTATATTGTATGCATTTCTATCAACTTGTATATACACTGGGGCATGTTAGTTATCTCAGGTAATCTCATCTTTAAACCTGTATTGTTTGTTAGCTTTTATAACCTGCTCTCAATAAGCTGCTTTTATGGACTTTGCGTTCGTAATTCAAGTCTATTTCTATGCTTAAAACGATGCCACCAAAGGGTCTGTTTGCACATGTGTGTTGAAAATCCAAATGCAGTATGTTTTCAGTTTAAACATTCGACATTGAATTCATTTTGCAGATGCTTTCGTCCAAACTGACTTACAATGAGTGCATTTAAACTTGGTATGAACAAGAGCTAGATGTCATCCCTTCCGAACAAACAACTAAAAGTGTATTCAGTGCTACAGTACAAGTGCTTAGAGTATATCTTCTTGTACATCTTCATTAGTCCCTAAGTGTTCTGTACCTGTCGCCAGGATGTGATCCAGCAGGTTTCTGGAGCAGTACTGTGCCACTGTGGTGCCTGCGTGTCCATCAAAAACAGCAAAGTATCCCCACTCTGTCAGCTCTCCTCTCAGCTGGGGCATGCAGGTGTGGGCGTCCTCCATCTGAGCCCTCCAGCCCTGCATGCTCGCCACAGCGTAGTTCAGCCCCGGCTGAGACCCCCCCTCTGACACATGCTTCTCCAAAATGGGATGCTCCAGGTACGGGCTCGGCATCGAGTCGTCCTCATCCAAATTGTCCTCCTCCCCGGGCCCTGCTTCCCTGGACCCCCCTTTGAAGAAGAAGGTGACCATCTTCTCTGTCTCTTTGACCAGCTGGCGGAGGAATGAGGGCACCTCCACATTGCTCGCCCTCCTGGCTGTCCTCATCACCCCGCGGAGCCTGTGCTCAAGCTTCCTGCTCGACCTGGCAGCGGCCCGTCTCCTCCTGGTGCCCCTCCTCCGGCCCTGTGTTTTCCTCAGCAGGTCCAGCGCAACAGTTGTGCCGTGTTACTCCAAGCAGGTAAAAAAGAAAAAAGGGACTTTTAGTAAGAGTTGTGCAGTTAAATGAAAAACCGAGCTTGTTTCCTGTTAAAAATGATTAAGGCCATTTCTTCATCCCTTTGCCTGCTTGTAGAGTCAGGAATTCCTTCCTCTGTCCTATTCCTTCTTTGACAGTAAGACTATAAGCTGCCTGTCTCTCTCTGTCTTTGTTTCTGTCTCTCTCCTTTCTCTGCTACCTCTCCTGTATCAGCCCTGCGCTTCTATTGGCCTATCTATTAGTGTTGATTTATCCCTCTGCTCTGCCACCACCTACTGCCCTCCTTCCCCTCCCTCTGTCTGTGTAACACTGCTGGATAATCACCTGGCCTTCAAGGCAGCCCATATGACTCGTGTCTGCACACATGCACAGATTATGAGCGTAGCATCTTACGCAACACAGAGGGATCCCCAGTCACTGGCACATTTCTATTTAGGGATTTTATGTCAGATATAAGACAGTTTGAATCCAAACAACTTCATTCTGGGCAACGTCATTCAGTAATAAATTTGTTTTATTGAATGACTATTGCATCAGGCTTAGTGAAAATATTAGAAAACACAGGGTATAGCTTCTGTATTGTGTTAAAATATGCATTAAGACTTGGGGTTCAAACTCCACTCTTGACCCTGGAAGCAGCAGTTGACAAAACAATCAAATGCCACACTCCGTTTAGTGGCTGTTCTGAAGCTTTCGGTCAAATCGCATGGTTTGCCCACTTCGACCTGAGGTGAGATTGTTTTACCAGCTGCAATTTCCAACTTCAAAATGTTTTTTAAGATTTATAATGTCATGACAACTTTCATGACTACCATGTGATGTGATCAAAAGCTTCATAACAACTACACAATTTACCTCAAATTTTATATTGTAGTCTCGTGGTCCAGCTTCCAGAGTTGTCATTTACTGTGATTTTCCAGTTTTCTTTTGCTGTGTACTCTCTGTTTAGGGTCAAATAAAACTCCAACTTATCTGAGATTTAGTTGTTTCTTTCCAAATATGTCATTATCGTACCTTATTGATGAAGAATACGTTGGTTGGAACAGGACTAGAACAGTTTTTTTGCAGGCTATAGCACCTTTCAGAAACAATTTAAAGTGCTTCTTTTTGCATCGAAATAATAAAAGGACAAGACGTATAAGAAATGCAGGGGAACATTAAAATGCACATATAAATACAACTGAAAAAGAATAAAATAAATTTGAAGATAAAACAAGCGAAAATGGAAAAAAAATTCATTCTCCATTTAAATAAGGTTCGTTCTAAAGTTGTGTTATGTGTTGACACGCCTACGCAAACCTACCCTGTACTATATGTGACTTGCTGATTCCCTGTTGTCCAAGCATGACAGTTGTGACTTTATCTCATTATCTGCTGTGTATTTCTAGCCTCTGACCTGGTTTATATGCAGGGACTCCTGAGCTATAATGGTGTTAAAGACTATATGTGTTATACTTTGTTCCTATTCAGCCATAAGTAGGACTAAACCTTTTATAAGCTGATGTTGGTCTCTGCTGGAAATGTTTCAGATGAAGCGTGTTTGTTTACCTTTACTTATCCTGTTAAGTCAGGGCACACACACACAGCAAACAAGATGACGCAGGAAGTGCATCGCCACGTCACTGTGTTGATTTATTGTGATTCGTGCAGCACTTTTCAACGAGGGTGTAGAGTTGTTAAATTAAATGTCATGCATCAACAGTCATCTAGCTGACTGGTAGAGTCTTACGTGGGTAGTGAAGTGTTTTTTCTCTAAATTACGACCACGTTTCCTATGAATAGCCTTGGTTAAGGTCTGTAAACACTATCGATCACCAGTGTGTGTCATTTGAGTTTTATACCATAAAGCAATCCATCGGTTTCCTAACAAATCAGACCCAGGCACACACACAGTCGTTCCTCTCAACTTGACAGATTTGTTGTTGATGCGATTTCTCAAAGGTTCATGACCTCAGTACATCAGCTCTCCAGCTTCATTTTGGCCATTCCCAGTCATGTGGAAGCAAAGGTAGTTATTACGCTACACTGGAACAAATGTCCACAGAAAATAACACTTGCTGCAACTCTGACCACCTTTGAATTAAGGTAGGACCTTTTATGCTTTTAACTGGGGGAGGAAACATTTAACAGGTGGTGAAAACAGAGCTACTGTATATGTAGGCATGGATTATTATTAGTCATATTTATTGGGATTTACACAAGCCTTTAAATGTGACCCAAAGGATGCTATATTTGCCCACCACTCACATCCACCATCAAACAAACTGCACTTTTGTTCCACTTGCTCTTTTTATTTTATCTTTTTATTTCTGTACGGTGACTCAGTAATGTCACTTACAAAGCAATAACTCTTTAAAGGTTGCTGACATTAGCTAACATTAGTCATAAGCTAATGGTGATACCAGACCAACTGAGGCTTTAGCAGCAGAACTCCTGAGTGTACTGAACTGAGCAAAGGTCCATATTAATCAATTATGAATGAATTATGAACAACTTTTTTTTTTTTAAGAGAATTTTTTGTTCCTACTTTCAAAAAATTACATCGTCTTGCATAACATTGTCTTATGCTGTTTTTCTTATTAATATCTTTAAGACTTTATTTATAGTATTGAATTACCTTTGTGTATAAAATGTGATGTATAAAGCACAGGAAAGAGGGCATACACATTTTCCTTCAACTCACTATTCTAACATTTTCATTTACAGCTTTACAGCTACACACTACTGCCCCCTACTTTTCTCTGTTCCACAGGTCTCACTTCCCATTATAAAAAAGCTTTTAGTTGAGTCTGCACATTATTTATACTTCAGCGTTGATTATAGACTTTGGTGTGGTTTGTTTTTATGATTGCACTTTGTGAAACGCAAATATTCCTTATATGTGTATTTGTGTTATAATCTAAAACACAGTAAAGCTGGCAAACATGCTGGTAATCTATGTGCCTGTCTGGGGCTTTAGTCTGTCCTGTCCATCCTCAAATGCATCCCTCTGTGTGTATGTTTAGTATATGCTCATGCTCTTATACATTATTAATGACTTATTACTCCCTCTCTTACAGCCTATAAGATCCTGAGAAAAAATCACATGACGAGGGAGAGAGGGACACACAGACAAAGATTAACTATGAATGGGAGATAACAACAGGCTCAGACAGACACAGGGACACACTCATGCTCCTCTTCCTTTGCTGTAGCGCACACTACTATGCCGCTGCAGTCATACTGATGCAAGAGGAGATGAAGAGAGGAGGGAGCAGAGGGGAGGATGGTGGAGGGAGGCAGGGCGGGGCTGCTGAGTGACAGAGCGAAAGGCAGGAGAGGGAGGAAGCTGCCCAACAGACGACCAAGAGACAGTGGGAGGAGGAGGAGGGAGCAAGAGAGAGAGAGAGTATGTGTATCCACAGGGCGTGAGTGCCAGTAGCAGAGGAGGGGGGGGGGCCTTCCAGACTGGATGGGCCCAGCGATGCCTTGATGGAGTATGGGCCAGGTTTTAGGATTCTCCCACTGCCGTGAGTCTGCTCTTTTTCTGCTGTTTCCATCCATGTTTGCATGCGGGAGGTCTGCATTGGTTTGCCTCACTATACCATCGACGTACATATATATTCCAGCTCATCATCTTTTCTTGCTGTGAGCATCGTATGTGTTAGCTCACCCCTCCCTCCCTCCCCTTCCTGCCTACTCTCCATTCCTCGCTCCTGCTCTTACCTTTAATAAACACATGGCTGGATGGATGGATGCAGTGCAGAAGCAGACCTTGTTTGTTGTCTCTCATTGATTTTGCAGATGTTTATGTGGCTGTGTACGAGACGGCTCTTCCCAGCACGCATTACAAGAACACAAGTTATTTGGACCTAAAAGCTTCTGTTGTGCTCTCATATCTGTGTTTTATTTTATCTTTTTGTCAAAATATTCACCTGATATTCTCCGGTTCTCATTCTTCTATTGCATGTGTTCAAGCAGAGGAGAATATGCTGCATTCATTGCTCTGCCTGGGTTGATTTATTAGCTAATGTCATGCTGGCTATCTAATATAGTGGAGGCCTTTACTGCTGCCAGTTTAGCTGTGTGAGGAGATGAGTCTGTATCCGCTGACCTACAGTATGCTAACTTAAAGTGTCACGTTCCTATGATCTATAACTGATATACACACACTTTTCTGTTTAGTGGTATGTAATATTATTTTGTATTGAGGTATAATATATTTATTGATCAGGTCTACTACCAGTAGCACAGTCTGCTGTTGTAACTTTGGGGGAAAAAATGACTCATAACAAGGTACTGCAGTGCTTGTTGGTGCTTTTATCTTATTCCTCATTTGACTTTAGTACACATACTTTGAATGTTTCGAGAGGCATGCCATTAAGATGAATGTGAGATGGAAGGAATGAGTTTCCAGCATATAAAAGCAGCAACAACACATTTTTATTTCTGACTTTGTTGTTTTAGCTACAGCGTGTTTACGAGTAGCTTTATCTAAGATTTTGACTGTTTTCTTCCAGAGGAATATGGCTCTGTGGCGTCCACTCCAGACTCAACACCTCCGTGCACCGATGGTAGGAAGAAGACACTTAATGCTTATAATACTAGAGATTCCTGTTGATTCTGACACATCTTTCATTTGAAAATGTCATTGAAATTATTTCACCTCAACACCCCTGTCATGTAACTCCTCTAATACCGGCAGTGAAGAGCCACAGGTTAGAAAAGAAGCGCTGTTACTGTTGAATTTTGGAAGGAGAGACGTTTATACACTTATCAAAGAAGATTTCATCTTTAGATGTTGCACACCTTTTTCTCCCCGACATCAAATGACACACTTTGGTGCTTTCATCTGACATATCTATTTATTAAAAACAAAATCACACTCTTTGCACAACTCTGAACTAATACACACAGTGTTAGCCACAGTCTCTATAATTGAATGAACTGCTAAATGTTGTAAATTGCTCCTCTGCCCAGTGAGTGTAGAGTTTTCTATATTTTTCTCTACTCTGTCCTCTCCCTGTCTCTATCTGTCTTGTGTCTGTGTGTCTCTCCGTGCGTTGGGTTGACCACTTTTCTTGTTTTTGTGTCCATTCAGGCGGAAACGAGGAGTCCGAGATGTACGAGCTGCAAACAGCCAGGGAGTGGTCTGACGACGAGGAGGGTGGGGACGGAGATCCAGATGATGACGAGGGACTGGCTTCATCCCCGTCCATCTGGGGCACGCCGCGACAGAACTCCTTCGAGCTGACTTTCTCTTATATCGCCATCGCCGAGGCTGAGGCAGTGGGAGCCTCAAGACACCTCCGTGACAGACGCAGGGGCGGCTCCCGGACTCGCAGTCCTCTGGTCCGCACGGACACCTTGGAGACACTGTTGGACTCCCCCGATGTAGACTGGGACCCTCAAGCCTTCCTCAGTCGAGAGGAAGAAGAGGAAGCCTTGGAGAGGAGTGAGCAGGAGAGGGTGGAGGCCACGACAACAAGTGCGGCGGGAACGATGGAAAGAGAGCAGCACAGGCAAATTGAGACTATTACAATTCAGCCCTCTCCCCAAAATCTGGACCCAGAAACTCAAGGGAGAGATGCTGGAATCCAAAGAGAGGAGATTCAAAGCAGTACGACTGAGACTGTCCAGCCTCCCTCTCCATCCCTGTCTTCCCAGCAGCAGAGCCCCATACAGACACTTCAGGGTGAGAGAAACAGGGAGATGAGGAGGTTGTCTTTTTGATTGTTGTCCCCTAGGTGTCTTAGCTTCTCAACAAGTGACACATAATTTCAAGTAGGCTGCCTAGTAAAGTAGATGATTTAAAGCTCTTTCCTTCACTCATCTGTTTTTAACGTTCAGAAGTTCATTAGTTCTCCAAATAAATCAACCATCAGTCCGATAGTCATCTGGTTGGGCTCAGTATATTTTCAGCGGATGCTTCCCGACTGATGATTCGCCAAATAATGTGCCCGCGTTTGCCCGTCTTCCTGGCACTGGTAATTCCTCCTCCATGTCAGCAGTCATGAGCATCAACCCATGGTACGCCAAGAGCTGATTATATAGTCTGACTTACGAAGACCTCTCCTTGAGGAGATCGTCACGTGATGTGGCACAGAGGCAGGAGTGAGCGGTGGCCAGAAGTCATTGGGCCTCTATTTGGAAAAACCACTCGAGGCATTTTCCTGTGATGGAATGTAGTAAACATTTATGTGTTATATTATCAGATATTTTCCCAGTTCTTGAACTAGCTGGTGTTGGGCAAAACGGACTATAATATTATGACAAATCACAGACAAGACGTGATTTTTAGAAATATTTATATGTATAAAGATGAAATTAAAATTCCTTTTTTTTCTTCTGCACAGGAAAGTCTTCTGATGAGATACAGTATGATCTTAGATGCAACAAACTCACCACCCACCTATTCTTCAGTCCGTGCTTATTCATTTAGATCTGACCCATGCAAAGTGTATTTTCAGCTGTATTTTGATAATGATGAACAATCCAAACCATTTATTTATAGTCTTTTCAATGAAATGATTTTAGAATGAAGTAGAAACTTTAGATATGTAAGCATGTTCTGTAAGAAAAAGTACAGATAAGTGATAGATAAGGAAAGTCTAGACTTTAATCTGGGACCACAAAAAAATTGCAGTCCAGACACTTTTAATTTAACATCTAATTTGAGATCTTTTGTCAGTTTTAGTTCAAGCTGAGCATGTACAACAAGTCAGTGCTGATATCATCGTGATAGTGACATCATCTTCTGTTTCCCGGCAACAGCAGCAGCAGCAGCAGCAGTGGCGGCGGCGGCGTCACCACCGACCCCAGAGCCAGAGTCTCCCCTCACCAGGGAGACCATCTCAGTCAAGCTGCTCACATCTGTGCGACCCAGAGGCCCAGCGTCCTCGTCGCCAGCTGCCATTGGTTTAAACTCTCAGGAACAGCTGGTCAGCGATCACTGGTTTTCAGCGCTTAACCTATCAGAGGACTCGACAGTATGCACCCACATAGCAGGTACAACCCCATCATCTCTACATTTCCTCATTCTTCTGACCTCTGATCTTTTATAATATCAGATTTCCACATGGTCCTTCAAGAGCGGGCAGACAAAGATAGACACACACACACACACCCCTCCTCTCTCTCTCCTCCCCCCGGAAGTCCTGGCTGTCCATTGTGTCTCCATAGTAACCCTCTCCCGGGATTTCAGGAATGATTGGCTAATTGCGGGGAGGGCATTGCTGGCTTACTTTTTCGGCTCACACGGCATCACTGCTGATATCAGAGTGTATTACTGTTTGACACACACACACACCCACACACACAAAAAGAGAGACTGGGAGGTGTATGTGTGTGCATTTGTGTGTAGTTCCTTTAAATGCAGATTTGCGGTACTTTGTTGGCACAGTAGGAGTGAGTGAGACACAGATGAAGGGAGAAAGAGAGAACAAGAGATAACATCTTGTCTTCCAGCTTGATGGCACTTTAAGTGGACTGTCACTCAGAGTTGAGCTCAGACTTATTTTAGTTGATGTGGGGGGGGGTGTCGGACTGTTGATAAATGTGTGGTCAGGTTGATGACAGAGTTTAGGGTGTCCTCAATAAATAGCACACATGCATCTATTGGAGCATCATGGTTTTTTTTTTGTTTTATGGTTTTATTATTTGTTTTTTGGGCTGTGTATCAAACCTCACCTTTTTTTGGCAACTGAAATGCGTCTCTTGCACTGAGTATTGAAAACTGGTCAGACTCAACGCATAACACATCTTGTTTGGGTGAAGTCCTTGTTCAGCTACAGCTCTTGTTAAATGAAAAAAATAATAATAATATAAAAAGTCTTTTGTAGAACAAGTAAGGTTTTTAAAAACCTTTTGCCATCTGTGTGGAAACTCACACTCAAAAATTTGAAATGATACCAAACCCTACTTATTGAACTTTTGTGCTATAACCTAAATACATATGTTTCAGCAGGCAACTACATACTGATTCTTAATGTCTAGGTAAAAAGACAAAGTAAGTCTTGTCCACATCTAGAGATAAAAAGAACTTTATTAGCCTAGTTCTGAATCACTGCTACCATTTTGCAGCAACTGAAATAAGTGAATAATTCAGTTAGATGTAATTGCAATTTTGCCTGATTGTCAGGATATTTCTTTTTTGCCAAGCACACAGAGCTTCTCTGGAGTTTTTACAAAGAAATAAGAAACCTTGTCCTTAGAAAATCGCACCAAATGATGCAAAAACTCAAGTCACTCATCTGTTTATTGTCAGTGGTGGCACCAGAAGATTTGGCTGGGTGACATAACAGAAAATAAACCCTGGTTCTCCTGTTTCAGTTGTCGGATGAGACCTATATATGAACACAACTCTAAAGAACCTTTTCTAAGTTCAAAGGAATCTCATAAATTCATTCTGCTTCACAGTGGATTTGTGCTTTAAGGAGGAAGATGTAGCGATTTTGAGATTCTTGTGTGATTGCTGTGAATCATTTGAATCATGTTTGAAGCTCTTGGAGTCTTGAAGAGTGGTGGGCGGTGCTGCAAACAAGATTATTTTGGGCTGTCAGGCCTTTGGACTGCTGAGTGAGCAGGGGGTGGCCAAAAACAGCTCAGAGGGGCGAAGGGGAGCACAGCGGGACAGAGAGAGTGACAGAGGGCGCGAGGGGGAAACACTGGAACGGCAACCAAAATGGACAGCAGAGGTGAGAGCCTGGGCTTGAGGTGAAAAGAGGATGATTTGAGACAGCAGTGTACACCTACGTAGATGATGTTTAGGTATTTGCTTACAGTCGTGAGCTGACAGTCAGCTACTGCAAAGAGCTGTGTTTGATTTCGGTGAGAAGAAAGAAGGAAGAGGAAATCCTCAGAGGAAAGCCACAGATTCTAGTGTGAATGGCTGTAAACCACTTCTAAACTCTAGTAGTGGACTCTTTAGCTTTGTGACTTTGGTGTGGTGGAGAAAAGGCCAGGCTGTCAGGGTACCGAAGGTGTGAACTGAGCGGATTTCTTGCTTCTCTTTGATCATTTTACAAGCAGAGTCTCTGGAGATGGCAGCTTCCATCAGCTTAGAGGTGTGTATGCCTTTTAACTGATGAGCTGCTCAGATGTAGCAGGGGAGTCTCCATATCAGCTGCCTTCATTTAAATGAGCACCAGCCATTCAAATGAATCTGAACTGTCATCTTGTGGTATGTCATTAACAGATTATTGTTGTGGTCGTGTAATAACTTTGCCAGTTGGATTCTCTTACATTTCAGTCTGCAGCCTTCAGTCTGCAGTACCACCAGATACCCTGGACACGTGATTGACCTGACGTGACCTGGGTCAAATAACGTTAATGTTAAAATGGATTTGTAATTTATGTTCTTATTGGTTAATTGACTGGATGGTTAGTTAATTGCTTGATTGGATTATTGATTCTTCCATGCAGTCGCTCCCGTGTGGCTCATTTTAAAAAAATATATAATTCAGTCAGAGGATCTGTAGCCTGAAACTCTGGTATAGAGATTAATGAATGTCCTAATATTATATCCCAGCCATTTATAGGTGGTGAACAGTGGATGTAGTAATTGCCTCCTGATTAAATGGCAATTATTACTCACTAATTTCTGAGTCATTTATTACTTTGCACCTATGGATACAGCTGCACATGAAGCCCACTTGAAATGTATTAATTTAAGTACAGAATCAGTTATAGGTCGAAATAGAAATAAATGAGTCCACCCTCAGGGAACCTAAAGGCTGCAATATTTATTACACATAATGCAAAAGTGTTACAGAAAGATATGCACACTGCAGACTGCAAATTTAGCTGCTTGTTAACTTTAGAAAAAGCCAGGTTATGGTGCATATGTGGTAGCTTGTATGGAGTTTACAGAAAGAAAGAAAAACAAAACACTAATTTTCTTACCAAAACTTAGATGAGAAGCTATGAACCACTATGAAATCTGTATGAAGCTACCACCAGAAGGTAATTAGCTTAGCTTAGCATAAAGGCTGAAAACAGGGGAAAACAGCTAGCCTAGCTCTGTCTGAAGGTAATGAAATCCTCCGACCGGCACCCGTAAAGCTCATTAATTAACATGTTATCATGTTTGTGTAATCTATATGAAAACCGGTCAAGCCCAGTCAAGAAATAGTCAGGAACGTAACCCCTCTTAAAATCACAAATTGTCTTTTTTCCACCAGTTTTGTACAGATTAAAAGAGCAAGATACAGTGTGTTAACTAATAAGCTGGTGCTGGTAGCCGGATTTTGTTACCTCTGGACAGACCCAGGCTAGCTGTTTCCAGCTGCTTCCAAAACTCTTGAACTATTCCTTTAAAATAAAGAACTCCAGGCTTTACAATATGCCCAGCGATCTATAATTATTAAAAATGCAGTACATGCCTCCTGCAGTAATGCTGCATAGTTGCTTCACTCCAGTGTGTTAAGAAAATACTGGGTGAGTAAAGGATAAATGCAGAGTTTGGGTAGTTCTATAATACAGTGCAGTGCCTGAATATAGCAGTGTCTTCCATGTGTACTTTGTTTAACATAGACATTGTCTTCAAGTGAAGTGCTTTCAACAATATTATTTCATCAAATTAGTCGCCTGTGCTGAGTAACACTGTCCCACAAACAAACCCATTGGACAGGTGTGTTCCAGGGGCATCATGGGTATTAATTGTGTGCAGTGATGTTTATAAATAACCCACCTGCTGTCAGTGCACTCTATTCAAAGAGGCTTCCCTTTATTCTAATGCTGAGGCTTAGCATTTCACTGAATGACAAGCACAAAGGGCTATGCCTGTCTGAAAGTGCAGCGCCATACAACAGGACCCGTAATTACACAGAGCTTTAGCACTGCTTTAACTACTCTATGGACTGTGCTTTAGTTTGATCTGTTTTGTCCACATTGTCTAATGCGACATGGTCATTCATAAAGCTTTTACACTGACAAGAATGTCATTTTTGAAAGAATTCAGCTAGATAAAGTTATATTCTATTATATATACTGAAGTTGTCCACTCCAGTAAAGCATGACTCTATGGACGCCTCAGTCTCCACGGCAGCTGTTGCTGGGTGACCGGGAGAGAAACCAACAGGGTGCGGAAAAGGGGCTGCTGAAGGCCTGACGTCTGTCAGCAGGTGCTGTGAAAGCCTGCACTTAAATTCTCCTCGACTGCTCGCTTCCCTCTTTCATCCGAGGGCTAAATTTAGCCCAGGCCGGAGCCTGACGTGTCCTCGTAGCTGCTGTGTGTGTTCTCCTGCTAGAGGCTGGAAATCCCTCCCTGAATCATATCTCCATCTACCACTTCTCTTGCCTCCTTTCCCCTTCCTATCACTATGTCAGAACTACTTTATCTTCCTTCCCCTCTTCCTTTCTGCACTACCCCTTAAAATGAAAAGACCTTGTGGTCGGCCAAAAGCTGAGGGGGCTGAGGGGTGATGTTACTGTAGCTGGTCTGTTCAAACCAGGAAGGATGCATGTAATCAAGACAAGTTTGTTGATTGATCCAGTACCTACAGTATGTAAACAATCCAGTCCGTATGCTGCCTCTAGCCTGGTTCAATGTCAGTTTTTCATCCATTCACAGTAAACTTCAATAATTCAAATTCAGATTCAACCCCTCACTTGTTTTTCTTAAAACCTTTTTGTTTCTTTTACCCTCTCTTCTTCCACCTTCCTTGTCTTCCAGTGATGGACCTGATCTACTGGAAGGACACGGAGCGCACAGGCATGGTGCTAACAGGGCTGGTGGTGGGCCTGCTGTCCCTGTTCCAGCTCAGCATCATCACTGTGGTCTCCACAGTCTCCCTGGCTGTCATGTGCTTCACCATCTCAGTGCGCATCTACTACCAACTCCTCTACGTCCTCAGCTGGGGCGATGGACAGCACCCCTTCAAGTAAGTTGCTGCGCCTGCATTTTGTGTAGGACAGTGGTAAAGTGGTTGTCTTTTCCTTTCTTGTTCCAGCTTTTCTAAAAAAAGGAACAGGGAGAGCGGTCAAGACAAAGAGGAGAAAAATTACGTATCACATAGAGCTGGATTCACCCCATTAAGTCACAGTACATAAATCTTTTCCAAAACAGTCTGAGTTCATTCAGCCAAAAGTCTTTTCAGTCCAAGTTCTATTTTCTTTGTTCATTTCAAAATGCAACATTTCTTTATTGTATTTCACCAATAATAAAATATGCAGTAGCTGCACTTATGGTTATTAATTGGTGGTTTTCTATTTGCATAGCATATTTTGGGTTATGTTGAGGTTCAGGCAGTGAAGTCACTGAAAAAAAAGGCTTTGCGCAATAAGCAACATGCAGTTTTTTGCTGGGCTTTCATTAATAAATAGCAAACTTAAGTGCCCTCTTTATTATTGATCAGTGATACTCCTTCTTATGTATGAAATGACAGCCACATAGACTAAATTGATTGTAAAAGCCTGGTGGTGACCCAGCAAATTGAAAAGCTTAGGCCCTTTGACCTTTGGACACTGAAGGAGGGGACAGATTTATATTTGGGCTTGAAGGATTACATCACTATCCGGTAAACAGTAAAGGAAGAATGACAAAATTGATTCTACACAGAGGCAGAACTCACATTTCTGTTTTTCAGCCTCCCTTTTTCTGCATCTCATGTCCTCTTTTTATTGTCTGATTTTGTCTCAGGTCATACTTGGACCTGGACATCAGTTTCAGTGGAGAGCAGGCTGACCTCTATATGCGGAAAGCCATCGTCATGGTTCTGTCTGCTGTTGACACTCTGAAGAGTCTCTTTTTTGTTGGAAACCTTTTTGATTCTCTCAAGGTGAGCTAAGCTAACAAACTAAGTTAGTTTTACTTGATTTGTGTGTGCAGGAACGTGTGTGTTTGTGAGTGCAGGCTGTTCAGTCTCTTGTTTAGTCTCTAAATTATCTCTCAAATATTTGCTTCACCCTGTCCAGAACATCTCCCCCTCATTAACCCAAGCATCAGTGCATCATTGCATCTCTGCATTCTTCCATTCTATTCGCTCCATCTTCTGTCATGTTCTTCCTTCCATCACTGGATATGACAGTATCGCCATGCCAACTGTCTCTCTCATTATGCTAGCTCAGAGCTGAAGACTCTGCTCCTAAATAAGGGCAATATTACTGACAGTAACTGTCTGTCCCAATGACATATCTTTGGTAATCATGTGGAAAACAATCAGTCCCTTTGGAAAAACAAATCATTCCAAATTAATTTGAATTGGTACTAACTAGCATAAAAAGGCAGTGTGCTTCGCTCTTCTCATCTGTGCTATTTATCCAGCCTCTGGATCTGCCTCCCTTACTACCAGAGCCAGAGCATTATGTTAGTATTCATCAAGTCTAAGTAAATGTGACAGTATTACATGTCATTATCTGTTCATTCTTTGTTCCCACAGCCTGTTTACATTCTTTGTTAGACAGTGTTTGAATGTTATTTCCCTGCGACCTAATTCATAAGGTACTAGTAACTTATGATGATACATTGATTAAACAGTTTTTGAAAAGCATTAGAAAGGGGATGTAGTTCAGGTTATAGAGTGAGGAGGCCATTAATCATAGCATTAGTATGATATGTGGGTCCTCATGTCCACATGTTGACCACAAGCTTGACAAACTTAGACAAAAGAGACTTACCACAACGCTGAACATGATGTACAGAATCTATATTTGTTCACGTAATATACATGCATTTTTTTGTGTTGCTTTTAATTGTGTGGAGAATATTTAAATTCAAAGGGTTGTTTAAGTTTATTTTACATGTTATAATACCGTACATGCAAAGACTATCTGATTAAAGGAGCTATTTGTAAGTTTTGCCATTGCTACATAGCCAGCATTAGTATTAAGAGCTGTTTTCTTACCAGTCTAAAAGAAACGTTTCGAGTTCAGCATCAAACTTCATCCCTTAACTCGCCAAGAGCTGTTCTCAGTGGTGGAAAGCAACCCTCTAGTATCACTACTTTTCTTCGACTGAAGTTAGCATGCTAACCAGCCTGGTCGGACTGTCCCGTCACTTTCCAATACCAAGTCACTGTAACGTTCAGTCTGCCCTGAAGAAGTAGCACTGCTCAGAGGTCATATTATAACGTCTTGTCTTGTAAACACTATGATGGCTGATGCTCTTGCCAAGACTGGTAAGTAAACAGCTATTAATGCTAACGTTGGCTACGTAACAATAGCAAAACTGCATACTGCATTCATTAAATGTAAGTACATTATACACAAACCTAATGCTAATAAATGCTAAATGTTGTATCTGTACCAATATCAGCTGAAATGTCCTTATAAATCATTGCACATTATATATGAGCAGAAGAATCAGTTTAGTTCATCCCTAAAATATTTACGGCATTTCAGTAACGAACAGCAGCAGTTTGTGAGCGGACAGAGTTCACACATTTACAGTAGATGATGAGTTAGTGTGAGGTGACTGAGCCCGCTGAATCCCAGGACCTCGGAGTCTCAACCCTGACCTGGCCGGTATGTGACATGACACACAGGACACCGTAGGCTGAACCCGCCCGGGATAAACTGGAGTCTCTTTCCATCTGAGACAGGGGTGTCCCATATCAGGGCATCACTGGATCCCATACACAGTGACTGAGACACTGAGAGATATAAGGGGAAACACAAACCTATATTGGGAGTTATGTACTTGGAGCATATTTCTTCATCGAAAGGAAAGCGATGGCAGCATGGATAATTTTTATTGAGCGCTGTATTAGATATCCACAATATGATACAGGGAAATAAGAAATACTGCAGCATGATCTACTGCTTCCGAAAGAATGAAATTAAAAGCACATGGAGTAGTTCTGGAGGGTTTTTCTTGGCATCTGCACTGATCATTGATGGGAGTCAAACTAACTGTCTGCAGCTGTTTTCTGTTTTTCTTGGTCTTAGTTCCTGGTCCTGATGTACCTTGTGACGTACCTGGGAGACTTGTGCAATGGCCTTACTCTGCTCATCATCAGTAAGAAACAAATATCTGCTGCCTGCTGGAAATCTGGAATGTGTTAACATACTGTGTGGCTATCATGTTAGCTACCCTACTTTTCCATCTTCTTTCTCCTCCAGGTTTGATTGCTCTCTTTTCTCTGCCACTTTTCTACAGACAACGCCAGGTAATGACTTCAGTCTTTATATTGTTACTTTAACTGGTCCTTCATTTCTCTATTTATGAACACATATTTTTGGCCATTTCTGTTATGTCACAGGAGCAGGTGGATAGCTTCATTGGTAAAATCCAGGCCCACATTGACAACGTCAAGGACACGTGAGTATGGCGCCATCTTCTGACACAATAGTGTCATCAACACAGCCTCACTGCTGTTTTTCAACTTAAACGCTTAGCCCTCCACTGATACAAAGAATCTGTCTGAATCCCCACACTTATAGTGCCTACTTGTGTGACTTATTTCTAGTAGCTGCCAAAGTAATGCAATTCATAAAGCAATTAAACTTAAGTTATCTGAAAGCATGAAGACCTACTATACATATTGCCATATCATTTCGGTTCATTCATTCATTTGAACCACTGGACAAATCATAGATGAGGGTTGCGATCCATAACCTGCATAAGATGTACCATGTTATCATGGTGAATGATTTCTGTCTGTTAACGTTTTTAGAGAAGGAAGATACTTCAAAGTATTGTTCATAATAATAATAATTTTACAGTGTAGATTTACGATTTTATTCTAAACAAGACGGATCAAAAAACACCTGTGGAGGTTAACTATGTACTGTTTAGACATCATAATAATATTCATGCTGATTCAAAACACCAGCTTAGAGACTGCTAACTCTTGGAATAATGTTGTGCAGTAGACAATGGTGAACTTTCAGATACACTTAGCTCTAAATAAATCAGAATACATTTGCCTCAGGTGCTTCCACCCACCATTAGCAGTAATGAAATTTTAAGCCTGGTTGTTTTGTTTTTTTGTTTTTTTTGCTGAAATGCACCTTTGGTGTCATAGTTAATGTCAACCTCAGTTTTTATGTCCACAGGCTTGTACCTTTGACTTCAAATATTTTCCAATGGGGTTCTTTATCTTTTTTGCTGCTGATTTAACCAGGAGAGTTTCATGCTGATCCATGCCTTAGAAGTGAGTCAATTGTGAGTCACAGACTGTTGTCTGCAGGAAAAATGACTGGGACCTTTATTTCCAGAACCAGGAGCAAAATAGCTCCTCCCACTTCGTAACTCTATGTCAATTCGAAGACATCCCAACATCCTAATATGATTTCTGACAGCGATGATATCTCCCACCTGGTGAAAAGAACCACAGATGTGTCAACAAACCTCTGGCAAAATGACAGCAAAGCCGCTATCTCTGGCTTGTATCATATTAACAATGATACTGTTATTTCACTAAATGCAAAAGGACCAATATGTTCATTGTTTATTTGTATCTGGTTTCACTTAAAAATCACTCCAAATAGCACAGCAAATTCAGCTAATTTATGTGATTAAAATATTTGTGACTACAGGGCTAGCATTATGTTTCCTGTTCTCCCCATTCTGCAGGCACACTTGCCTTCTGTCTGGTGGTGCGTTAATGTGGACTTAAGAGCTCAAGAAACAGTGTGGGTACTGAGGCAAACCCTAAATTTGATGATCTGCTTAAGCACTAAACCCTCCTCTTTTTATCTTCCCCAGCTTTCGAAGACTTGCCCAGGGCGGTGGCCCTCCTCCTGACCCAACCCCTGGCGGCGCCAAACCAAAAGTCCAGTAAACACTGATGAAAAAGAACTTAAAGACAAGCTCCCAGAGTTACAGGCTGTCACTCAGATGTCTTACCCAGCCGTCTGTGCTCCAGAGAACAGAGCTTCAGAGACTGGGGAAGGGAAGGGATATTACTTAAACGGACGATGATGAGGATTACGCATGGTACTTTATTCTCTAACTGTATCTAAATTATGGGGTTAGAGGTCGGGGTTTGGGTTAAAACATAATCAAGGTGAAATCAAGGTGTGTGAATCCTGGATGAGACTCTTGCTGCTGACGTCGGAGATGGAAAGACTCAGCGATACAGCTCGTCATGTGTGACGGTCTTTGGAAATATTCATTGTTTTTAAAATGTTAAAGTGTCTTAGATGGAGCTGTAATCCAAATGAGCTACTAAGACCAGAAACGGGAAGTTCTCACACTGACAGCTACACACCTGAGAGAAAGGGAAGTCAGTTTCTAAAGTGATTTAGACTACAGGAGAAAAAAAAACAAACAAAAAAACATTATTATTCATGGCAGCATAAAACTGGCAAATAAGAATGCATGTGTCAGCACATGTACTTTTCTGAATGCATATTCATTCTCATGACTGTTTATCTGTGTGTATGCAAGTATGAGTGTGTTTGTGTGCGTGTAATTCCTGACATACCGCTTGCTGAAATGTTACCTACAAGCAATTAAAGTCACATTTCTTCTTTATTTTCCAAAATTTTCTGTTTCTTCTCATCCACACAGACATTCACTTTCATTCACATGATCATTGATTTGAGTTTTCTTTTGGTCAAGTTTTCTCACATTACTTCATCGCTTACACTGCTTCACTTTCCCTCATTCATTGATGTAAATGGAAAGTTGAAACTTAATATGCAGAAAGAAAAGTGAGTTCTGCAACAGGTTCAAAACTTGAGATGTATCGTAAATGGATTGAAGTTACATGACAGGAGGCTCATTATTGACGGAGCATCAGAGGTGTTGGTGTTGCTGAGTAATTTTCTGATTGGGAAGAAGTGTCATCACTTCAGATGGAGATCCTCTCCGAGCTCTTAAAGTGTTTATCTCGGCCTTGGAGGAAACTTGTGAAGGGATGTGGGAGTGAAATACAGCAGGTGCCTTTCAAACTGCAGGTTATAGTGCATGATCTGATTCACAGTATTTACAACTCCTGACAACCGCTTACAGCAACCTCTCCTTACAGCAACCTGACCATTGCCTTCCTGAGAATGGTGTTTTGTACGTGTACAATACTTGTGTGATAGTACATGTGTACCATGACAAGGTATCTTATACAGAATTGTAAGTAGGTACATTTTAGGATTAATAAAATTATTCAGGATACACATTTCCCTTTAGCGGTTGCTTTTAAAGCTCTCACCAAAATGTGTCTGTTCCTATGCCTTATTATTGCGTAATCTACCTGTGTCCTGCAGTGCAAGCCTTGTTATGTTAACAGACATGATCCATGACATCCAAACATGTGACATCATGTGCTGCTTAGTATTGGACCTACAGTAGTTGCACGCACACTGGCCTCCTGTAGTAGTTTTATGTACTAATACAATTGAATTTTTTGTCTTTGTCTTTCTTCCAAGAGGAACTTCAGCAGCGTGAATGGAGATAGCAATGAAATTAAAGGCACTAATTCTCTTATCTACCCACACAGCTTGGTACATACAAAAAAGTTGATTCCTCGAGATCTGTCTTGCCAAATTATATTTAAACAAAACTGCTGTTAATCAAGTCAAACTCATCACTTTTAGAACTGTCTCATTAAGTCTAGACTAATACATGCTTAAGTTTTTATATTTGCTGTGTGAATCAAAGATGAAATTAAATCGAAACAGGGTTTTAGTTCATTTCATTTAGTTCATAATTTTTAGTTCATTTAAAAATCAATCAAAATCAGTCATTACATACATGATAGTAGTACACTGATTATTTTGTATTCTTGAAAATAACTAGAGTTTTAATCTTGGAAAAATAAACACTGAAAAGCTAAAACAAGCCTAGTGTGAATTTCTGATAGATATTTTTACATATGTTTTATCATAAGATATATTACTGCCTATAATAATATTATTAAAAACTCTACCATTCTCTAAATACACTCACTAAACACTTCATTAGGAACAACTGTTCACCTGTTTATTCATGCAATTATCCAATCATGAGGCAGCGGTGTAATGCATAAAATCATGCAGATACAGGACAGGAACTTAATAAGTTATTGTTCACATCAAACATCGGATTGGGGGAAAAATGTGATCTCAGTGACTTTGAGAGTGGCATGAGTGTTGTTGTCAGGTGGGCTGGTTTGACTATTTCTAACTGCTGATCACCTGGGATAGAGTTGTTACTCAGGATGGAAACATCATCTGATGAGAGAGGTCAGAGGAGAATGCACAGACTGGTTGAGGAAACAAACAGAAAGGCTACGGTAATTCAGATAACCACTCTTTATAACTGTGGTGAGCAGAAAAACATCTCTCTTGAACCTGGCGGATGAACTACAACAGCAGAAGACGCTGTTGGATTCCACTCCTGTCAGCAAATGCTGGAGTGGCCACTGGTTCACCAAAACTGGACATTGAAGACTGGAAAACAGCCTGGTCTGATGAATCTGGATATCTGCTGAGGCTCGCAGATGGTACAGTCAGAATTTGGCGTCAACAGCGTGAACCCCCCAACCTAGCTTGTGCCAACAGTCCAGACTGGTAGCGGTAGTGTAATGGTGTGGTGAATGTTTTCACACTTTGGGCTCCTAGATACCAACCAATCATGGTTTGATTGCCACTGCCTGTCTAAGTATTGTTGCTTACAATGCACATCCGTTTACGGCCACAATTAATCATCTTCTAATGGCTACTTCCAGCACGATGATGCACCATGTCATGAAGCAAAAGTCGTCTAATACTGGTTTCATGAACATGACAATGTGTTCAGTGACCTCCCCTGTCACTAGATCAACTCTAGTAGAGCACCGTTGGGATGTGGTACAACATGAGGTTTGCAGTATGACTGTGCAGCAGACAAATCCTCAGAAATGATGTGATGTGGTCAAGTCAACATGTCAACATGGAGTAGAATCTCAATGGCATATTTCCATCATCATATGGAATCCATGCTGCAAAGAACTGATGCTGTTTTGAGAGCAAAGAGGGGCCCTACCCAGTATTTGTATTGGGATTCTTCAGATAAACTGTAGCCTTTAGCGGGTGGGATATCATGTTAATTTCCAAACTGCATGGCAGGGCCACTGATGTCTCTACATGATCTTTACAAACACCTCATCCAAAAAAAAAAGAAAGACCATCTTTGTACCCTTACAGTGTACAGCTTTTGTAACAATAGTCCATAAAAAGGGGCATTGCTTAACTTTTCTGTATAATAGGGTAAGGTCAGGAAAAATGTATTTGTCACTGCTATTAAACCACTCACTGCTATTGTTTGAACGGACAACAGGAGGGTCAATTGTGATTTTTACCTGTACGACTACATACTCTAATTCAAAGTCAATTACATCTATAACTTGAGAAACTGTAGCCTCTGGGCCACAGTATGCCCACTCGCCATGCAAGTAATTCAGACGTGTAAATTTACTCGTCGTTCTTGCTCTCCGCCACAAGGGGGCGACCAAAGTCAAGACATTACTTCCCATCCCATTTTCCAGGTGTCAAATGTGTCTCACAGCTTGGAACTGTGTGACAAAATATCCTCAGGACTGTTTGAAAAACTACCCAATTTAGAAAGAAAGTTAAGTTTGAATTTGTCCAATTCTTACACGTAAATCTCTCGACTGACTGTATTGATGTAGGATTCCACATTCTCCTACAGTTTGTGGCCACTGGCTGCTCCTTCTGGGCTCAGCTGGCTGCAAATTAAAGTAGGTCAGGAGATCTGACTGGGTTTGATATTTCAGTACTTTATGTCTCATGTTCAAAATGGACATCAAGGTTGTCTCCTTCTCCCTGGCGAGGACAATTTTGGACTTGCCTGCACAGGGTCATGGCAGCTTCACAGTTAGTTGGCCCTAGAAAAGGACACAGTCGGTTGGGCTGATATTAATTGATAAGAAAAAAAAAGAATACAAATAAAAGCGAATCATAAACAAATTGATTCTTGGCTCATTGTAATTTCTCCAAAGAGTCCGGTACAAGTAATCGTCTATGTTTTTTTTAAAACATATTTTGGTACTTATTTCACAACTTCAACCTGTGTCTGTTCAGCCCTCCGCTAGGGAAGTGAAGTGGGTGGGACTAGTCAAATCTATCTGAAGATATAACGCCGTTTGGATCCGCCCTCGCATTTTAAACTGCAGAGCTCGGGGCTGTGGACGGAATGGTAATTTGCCTCACTGGATTTGACAGCGCGCAGGGCAAGAGGAGAGGCTTTACGCACGAGTCCCTCTCCAGATCATAAGCATTTGACCAAACTTGCAGTACAGAAAGGAAACCTGTTCTCATGGTGGGTGCTTCATCTGCCCGTCGAAGGAGAGCGCGGTGAAGTGCTGGCCGATTGAATGTCACCTCCATTCACCATGGATTACGGAAGGACCATGGCCCCTCCGGTACCCCCGCATAAACCCAATCCCGCCCGGCCAGGACAGGCGCAGGAGCGGCTGCTGAAGTGCGTCCTGCTCGGCGACGGAGCGGTGGGCAAAACCAGTCTGGTGGTCAGCTACACAACGAACGGCTACCCAACCAAATACGTCCCTACTGCATTTGATGACTTCTCGGGTAAGTAATGTCAAGATATTGCTACTTTTATTTTTTATGATGAATTCTGTAAACATTTTTGCATATGCACAATCAGTGTAAGAGAGGAATACAGCATTATATGCATAAGCAATGTCACCCCTCATTTGCCCTGATGAAGGGTTCTCACAGGCAGAAACCCCGGGATTCATTCTGGTGAATTAAACCCGAATGGCATTTTTTTCCACTTCAGGGGCAAATCAATTTGTTTCTACCTGCCTGACTGTCTCCCACTGAATTCTTCTTGAACTTCTCATGTTTTGAGTGCACCCGCCCATTCTGCCATTTCCCCCTATTATTCCACTGTTATGATAGATGTGTTTGTTTTTCCTATTATCTGTCCTGCACCAGTGTTAATGCACATGAGTTGTCCTCCCTGGATCGAGCCAGGTTTCCATTTGGCACAGTTCCACTTTCCAAACTGTCTCACTAGCCCCAGCAGGCTTTGTTTAATGAAAAATAAGGAGGAGAGAACAAAATCCTTCAAAGGGGGCACTTGTTTTAAACTGATCAGTGTTGGCATGAAAAAAATACACCTCTGACCTCCTGATCACCTTTATTTCTTCATGGTCACATCTTCAGAAAGTCCCTCTTTAGCCTTTCTTAAGACACTTAGTAAACTTTACTCTTCTGAGATGTTTTATCTGCATATGATAGTATTCACAAAGGCCTATGAAACCTTACATTAGCAGATATTTATGCTTGTTTAGGAATTTAGGAAACAATACTTGGCATTGCATCACTGCACACAAACTTGTAGTATAACTAGTGATGTGTAGTAAAATAAACAACTTGGCCAACACAAATCCTGTCAAACACTCACTGTGAGCACACACCGCCCTCAGACGAACACTGGCTCAACCCTCCTATACAGAGCAGTCTCTGGTTCAGGGGTTTTGGATTGCACAACTCTGCCTATTGTTGTCAGCCTTGACCCGTGAGCCCTCTCCTCTATACTGGAATGGGCACATCTGTTGCAGTGGCTCTGAGGCAGATATTGTCTTTCGCCGCGGCCTGACAGAGAGCGATTGTGCAGTTGGGGCCCTTTATGGTGATGTCATTTCTCCATGCCCGGGATCAGAGAGTACCCTCTTGAAAGCTGACTTCTGAGCAGTTACGCAATGCCACAGGTGGCAGGGACGCAGAGGAGCGGGAGGCTGGGAGAGGGGACGATAAGAGGGAGTTTTGGTCTGGAAAATCAAAGGACTATCATATATCAGAGACTAGGAAATTATTACACAGTGGCCGCTCTCTCATACGTCCTTTCTCTCCTCCCGCTCTTTCTCCTTGCTTTTGTTAAAGCAGAGTGCCATGATGCCTGTCCTGCTACATGAATAGTTCCAGCAGGCTCTTTGATCAGGTGGTATGACCGACCACTCCAGGCGTATTGTAAATGTTTCCATGTGCCTGCTGCTCTGCATTGTGCTCACTCTTCTGAAAAGAATAAATGGCCCTGTAATGAAACTCGCTGTAAGATGACTCACCCACTTTTCCAATCTGGAAGTGAGGCTGATTGGAAGAGAGTCACCAAGCAAACAAAATCTGCTTTGTTTTTACCCCCACCCCCCGTTAGTCAGCCTTGGAATGGCCTCTGTCAAAACACAACAGAGAACAAAGCTCACCGAGTGGTCCGAGCGACAGTAAAGCGTTATGGTCTCGACAGTAACTGGCAGAGTGGGTGGGCGAGACAGAGCAGGCCGTCTGTGAGCTGCAAGAGCAGAGCAGGGGGTCTTTGTGTTTTCAACTGGCAGACTTTTGTTTATTCCAGAGAATACTCTGGCGGTTAGCTGTGTGTATGTTAACTACTGAAGTGTCAGGTGGGGGGCTGATGCACAGGGTTAAAGTAATGTTTTCTCTGTCTGTCTGTTTCTGTGTCGACAGCTGTGGTTCAGGTGGATGGAAACCCGGTTAGACTACAGTTGTGTGACACTGCAGGACAGGTGAGTTTTGTTCGCGCACGCACACACACACACACACACACACACACACACACACACTCTGCATTACCATTTGGCACCTTACCCGGATCAAAATGTGTGTGCCACACATGTCTCTCTTACACAACTTTGGTCCAGAATGAAATATCTCAACAACCGTTGGATGGATAGCCATGAAATTTAGTACAGATATTCATGGTTCCGAGATGATGAACCCTAATTACTTTGGTGATCCCCTGACTTTTCCTCTAGCGACATTATGAATTCAAAAATTTTCCTTTGTTTCTGACTAAATACCTGGAAAACTAATGACATTCCCCTCAGCATCAGCAGTACTTTGTGTTTAATGCTAAGTAGCACGTGTTAGCATGCTAACACACAAAAATATGATCGTAAACATTATACCTGCTAAGCATCAGGAAGTTAGCATTGTGATTGTGAGTAAGTTAGCATGCTGATGTTAGCATTTAGCTCAAAGCACCATTTAGCCATTTATTAAACATAAAAGCGAAACATTGACTGTTCCAGTCTCTCACAGGTCAGGATTTGGTGCTTTTCTCTGTTTTATATAATTATTGAATCAAACAACTTTAAATGTGGTGCTTTTGGTCTGATAAAACAAGCCATTTGAGAGTGACACCTTGAGCTCTAGCACTTTTTGAGGGTCATTATCACTGTTTTTGGATTTTTAATAGATTGAACAAATGATTTGATTAATTGAAAAAAAAAAAAATCTAAGGTGAATCAATAGTGGAAATATTCCATAGTTGGAGCTGTGCTGTTTTTGTGTTCTGCCAATGTTGCCTTTGCTTTCCGCCTTTCCTTTAGGGATTCTTGCCTGTTACTTCAGGTAGCGCAGCAGTGTAGAAATAGCTGAATTCCTGGGCTCTGCTGTCACTCTTCATCTGGAGTAGAAATAACACTGTCTCAAACAGGTATAGCTTGTGGTGGAGGCTAGACTGGAGGTGATATGTGAAAAATGAAAACTGTTTCTTTCTGTCTGTCTTCCCTGTTAAGGACACGGTGGTACGAGAAACTTGCCAGGCAAAAGTTATTGACTCATTATCATGTTTGTGGGGCAATCTTGAAAGGAACAGCTTGTGAAATGGTCTTGTAATTTCTCTGGAGCATGGGTGGTTGTTTGATAATCCACCTTAACAGAACCCTGCCCTGGGAGCAGCATATTTGACATTCACAAATGCTGTGAAGGCACTGCCAGTTCTGCACAGAATCAAAGACAATTTGGCAGTAAAGTGGAACGAGGCATTTGAACAAGCCCCTAATACATGTAAAACCTCACAGCATGTTGCAGGCTGCACACAGTGTTAAAACTGCACTCACACACAGACGCACACACGCAGACAAGCTTGGGCAAATATGGGCAGATAAAAGTCAGCTAACACTTAATGTACTGATGCAATTTCATAAGAGGGGAGCTTGTGCCAGAAATGGGTCGGGGAGTGCCAAAAAAAAAAAAAAAAAAAGGACAAGATGACTAAGAAAGAGAGAGGTAGAGAGTGAGAGAGTGAGCCAAGACAGAAAGACGGAGAGGGTTTGGAGAAGGGTGATAACAGCTGCCGCCAGAGCTGATAAACAAAGTTGCTCCTCACACACAGATGTTGATATGTCTGTATATTCTGCAGATGGACCTACGTCATCAGATCACAAAGCAAAGCCAAAGTTTGTGTGGGAAACTCACAAGTTGATAAGTGTCCACTGCAACTGTTGAGCTTCAAATCTGATTGTTTCTGCAGATTTGCGTCGGCACAGAGCATTGTATAGGCAAAGAGGGATTAGGAGATGTGTGCTGGAAAGGAGAGGGTTAAGAGAGAGAAGGAGAGGTTTGTGTCAAGTTTCTGCCAACCTTAATCTGTGTACTCAAGGATGTGGGAGGCCCTTGTTAGTCAAAGCTACGTGGCTTCAAAGTGTTAATTTAAGAGATTTACTGTAGATGATATAAATGAGCGGGCAGGACTCATACGTAGACCGTGTATCAGCACAATATAAACACTGTTTAGACAGGTTGTTATCGAATGATTATTGGCGCAGTTCCTTTTCCTGTGATGTTAAGGTGCTTGAGTGTGTTGACCAGTGAAGTGATTACTGGAAGTGCATTTGTGTGTGGTCCTTCTGGGTGAGAAGTGAAGGGAAATAATTCATCGCAGTAAAGATTTTGAGTGGGGCCTAATGGAAAATCTTAAGACCTGTTCGATTTTAAATCATGAGCATCACCGCATAGCTTACCATCTGTTTCTTTCTCCATCAGGATGAGTTCGACAAACTCCGCCACTTCTGCTACAGTCGGACTGACGCCTTGCTGCTCTGCTTCAGCGTGGTCAGCCCCGCTTCCTTTCAAAACGTCTGGGAGAAGTGGGTGCCCGAGATCCGTCGCCGCTGCCCTCTCACGCCCGTCCTCCTCGTAGGCACACAGTGCGACCTGCGGCAGGACGTCAAGGTGCTGATCGAGCTGGCGAGGCGGCGGGAGAGGCCGGTGGCGGAGGAAGACGCCAGAGCGCTGTCGGAAAAAATTGGGGCAGTGACATACGTTGAGTGCTCGGCGCTGACACAAAAGAATCTGAAGGAGGTGTTTGACGCAGCCATCGCTGTGGGGCTGCGGCACTCTGACAGAAGAGCACGACGGGAGAGGAAGGTCCGCAGCACAGCTGATAAGATGAAGATGCTCTCCAAGTCCTGGTGGAAGAAGTACGTGTGCGTCCAGTAGGGAGGGAGGGGATGACTTTCCAATGACTGATATAAAACTGGAACTGCTCACATGTCTGCTGGGACTCACTTGGATGTACGAACTTCTATTTTCACGTTCACCTGGACGACCCCAGATGTGCTGGCCAGAATGACTTCAGTCCAGTGGAGCAACAGCTCAATAGAGGCAGAGTGTGCCTGCCTGAGCTGTAGAGTGGTTGCGGGTTTGGCATGGTTTCATTTTGACCATAAAATATCCGATGTTGATGCCTAAAAGACAGAGAGCATAAGACTGTAACCACTGTCTGCTGCTCAGAGCCAGTCTGAACTGTTAAATATGACTGTGACCAGAATTCAACCAAAAATTATGGAGCTAATAAAATTTTATGGCACATGGACTGCATATCATACTGGACTTGTCCAAAGGAAATGTGAGCTGACTTGGAGGGGAGGTGTGCAGGCGGTGATGTTATGTACTAAAAGTATACTCCTCCTTTTTGTCTGATTTGATACCCTTCTTTAACAAAGTATATTATTCTATGTGTTCTACACTGTAATTCAGCCCCCAACACTTCTGATAGATGCTCAGCTGAAACCCCCAATCACAGACGCAATAGTTCTGCTATTGAAAATCAAAGCCAATCCTGCACCTTTGTTTCCAAAATCAGAAGCGTCTATAACTTCAATGACAACTTGTTAAGAGTCGGATCAGATCAAATCTATTTTAACTCGTTCCCTTCTAGATTACAATCAAATGTACATGAGTATAAATTTATGTGAAATCAATGAGTTCTGGTTTGAATGGTGTATGTTGTTCTATGAACTGTCACATTAGTCTGGCCATTCACTTCTGTTTAACTGTGAGCTAGTGTAGGGTGTATGTCTCTACACCAGCTTGTGTCTGTGCCACATTTCATAGTGTTGCTACAGCTGTCTCACTGTTAGTCAACCACACATGTAGAGGTCTGTAAGCTCCTCACTGACCCGCACCAACCATCCTATACTGGAGAACACACACGTATGCTTCAGCTTCTGGAAGCTTTAGAAGTTTCAGTTCTTCACTTTGACTGAAAAGCTTCATCTGAAATGTTTCAAGACTTTTCAAGTTTTTTTTTTTTTTTTTGTGACTGTTACAAGGTTGCAGCAATACGTTGGGCAGTGCCACTGTACATTGCACTTATCACACAGAGTCCAAACATATCACCGAAGTCTTGCCATGCAATGGCCTTTGGACCAGTGGTGTGGAAACTTAAGAATCAGACACAGAGCAGGGGAATGCATCCGTGGCGCTTGAGCCATACGTTTACTCAGTGTCAATGAAACAAAAATGGCTGATCTGCATGTTCCCTGCACTACACCACTGGTCTGGATGATCACAGGGTCTTTCATTGACATTGTAGTCAGGGCCTTATAAGGATAATTACCCATCTTTGTCGGTCAGTGTACTGGAGCTTTCTCCTCTTTTGAAATTACACAGTAAATGAGGTGAAATCACCAAAGAGACTGATTCTATGTTTGCTTCTTATTTTTCAGAAGCCTGTCATTCAGCTCTGTCTATTTATCTGTTCCTTCTGGGCCAATAACTGATCAACAGCAATACAGAGCAGTTGTATGAACCATGATATGTCATTATGTATGTTACATAGTAATCACTTATGATGTTTGTAATGTCATCAGGATAAATGTGTGTGTACATATAGAAGTGACTCAGTCATTGGCTGTGCTGTCCAACTATAAATGGTACTTAACAATATGAGTGATTCAGTTGGTGTCTGACTCTGGCGTGAGAGCAGTTTGTTGAGCTGTATGAGCGGAACAAAATAAAATGTGAAATATTTAACCTGTTTTCACTGTTGGCGTGTCCATGGAGACGTTATCTCGACTGTCACCCTGTAGAGGATGTGATATGATGATAAGAGTGGAGGGGGAGGGAAGGGGAGGGGGCTCATTCATGCTTCGTTTCAAAGATCAAAGGTTATCATAGTATGAATAGGTGTTTTGACAGATCTCATATGTTTTTATGTGCCTCAGTAATAAATACAAAAAACTGCCAAAAAGAAAGAGGGAACCAGTTTAAATACAGAGGTTTCCGACCAAAATGTAGGTTAATAGGCTATTGCCAGAAGTGTTCCTGCAGTCTTGCAAAACTTTAACTTGCTTTAAGTAGAAAAACACATTGTGAGTAAAGATACACTAAAAGTAGACCGAGGGTCTACTTAATCATTCACTTTCTGGTTTATTTTAGTTTGACATAAAGAGGACATTAAATCACACCCAAGTACGAGTCGGTGTTAATATAAAAGCATTCACCATATAGGTCGCAATATAGCATGCTCACTATTGTTGTTGAATGCCTAATAAAAATTATTATACACTATATAGTTGACTCCAATTATTCCATAATGCAAGCTACAAAGAATTGCACAACTGATGAGGACTAACCATGACTAACAATCATCATGCATTGCTAAGAAAAGAGTTAAATATGCAGTAGCGACCTGAATACTATTTCAATTTTGCCATGTGATTCCCCTACAAATAGAATTCTCTTTATAATGAATAAGTTAACACTTTCATCCAGTTTCTAAAATGAGCGAAAAAATACAATTTAAAAAAGTTAGGAAAGAGTTAAATGAGACTTTAAAGATTTAGTCTCAGAGGTTTTGTCGGCACCGAGACTTCTAACTATGCAAGATCGGATGATTATAATTGCCTCAAATAGGCTTTTCCTCCTATTCATAGCTACGTGTCTACGCCACAGTATACAACAATGGGCAGAGAATGACAGTTAGCAAGGTATCTTGTACTTGTTTAGAAGCGCTAATGATAGGGTAGACAGCTAAAAGAGAGTTTGTGTCGTCTGGCAGACTGCAGATGAGTATGTTGTCCAGCCTCAGAGTGGGTGCAACTTAAGTAGGAGTGGTGCCAAGTGGTCTAATTATGACAGTCAGGGTGGCTCCACTTTCCACCAATACTTCAGCAGGAAAGCCCATTGTTGTGTCTTAGCAAGGCAGCCATCTTGTGAAACGTCCACTGATTTAGCACTGTGGCTTGTGTGTTTGACTGTAATACGTACCTGTCTGCTAGAAGTACAGTTTATTGTCTGTGGTTGGAATTTGGAGCTGTCAGTCATGAAACTAACAGAAAGGAAACATATCAGGGGCCGAGGTCCCCGCATCTCTCAAATTTCACAGTGAGACCGTTTGACTGTATGCCCCAGTGCATGTGTCTCTACACTAATTTAGACCTGCTCTGCTTAATCCAAACACCAAAATTGTCCCAGAGGTAGAAATGTGAATAAATATTCTACTGTATAAAACAGAAGAGCTCAGTGTTAAGCAAATATATACGGGGGTATTTGTGTAACCATATGTAAACGTAAAACACGTCAGTGCGCCAACATCATCAAACCCTTGAAGACTACGGAACTCGTGTGGAACAGACATAATATTATCACTCAGTGGTAATCTAACTGTATGCATTTCACGGTCACAGGTTCATGGAGGCAAAACCAACATTTAAACTACCTTTGTGGGTCGATCAGATGGCTTCCACTGTGGCAGATATTGGCCAATAGAGCTGCTCAGTTCTGTAGATCTGGAGCTTTGGTATCTATCCTTAGTTTAAAGGGGACAACCACAACTGCTGATGTGAAAGGGCCGTAGCCAGGATCATAGAAATACGGAAGCCATGAGTCCAAATTCCTAAAGCACAACCCTCACCGAAGAAGGTTTTTGATTAGTGGTGAATACCAAGAATTAGATGAGAATATCAATACCATTTTCATATCTATCCATTTAACATGACAAAAGAACCAGCTAGCGTTGAATAAAGACTATAAACTAGGGGAAATAGTTAGCCTGGCTCTGCCATTTGCATAGCCCTCCATAAATCAATACATTTTATATTTTTTGCATGGATAACACAAACAAACAAGATGGATTAGAGATGTTGGTAGGCTGATTTCATTACCTTCAGAGTGTGAGTTTATTTCCTGAAACGTTGAACAAACAAAAGTATCAGATTATGCCTATAAAATAAAAACACGTGTTATATGTGTGTTATCGTAGAATGTAAAGTCCTCTTTACGTCATCCAACTCCACAGATTCCCAGAAAATGTTTGAAAGTGTTACTGGTGGCTACAGCGCTGGATGGAAACAGTTATCCCTGTTAAATTAATGCTAGGTGAGATAATGGTGTGAAATGGGTGGCCTAGTCAACTGTAGCCTGCTTCAGCTGTTAAAACGCAAATGGTCATTGAACTTTTCAGTCCTGTAAACCCACATCATTACATAACTCCTGGGAATCATTTAGGTAACAAGTGAACTCTGACTCCACATGAAAGAGCACCACCATAATCAGTTTTGATGTCTTAAAGTTGGTGACGGATTTTTCCTGCACCCCTTGGATAACTGCCAGCACAATAACTGGAGCTCAGTCCATGGGGCGGGATTACTGAGGAACATAAACCTCGTCGATCGGGTCTGTGGGGTGCGAAGGGATCCAACCAGTAGACTGTAGTTCACTTTGTACATTGTCTTTAGGATTAACTGTTGCCCAAGCTCCTGTAATACGATGCAATATGTCTGGGGCCCTGATTAAAAGACACCCACACATAGATTTAACTAGTAATTGAGTACAGTTCATTATTCTTGACATAAATCTGCTTTCAAAGAATGTTTAAGACCACTGCCTCTTCCTTGTAACCCTCCCGTTACAAGAGTTGTTCTCATCTTCTCATATGTTTAAATGACTGTAAGCAATAGGAGCTGGATGTCTATGTGATTATGACACACAGGTTGACTGAGAGGTGAGACTGGTGTATAAGAATTCAGTGTGCTTCAAATGAGCAGGTCATGTGATAGTGCTCTACAATAGAATCCTAAGGTATTTGGGAATCACTGTAGGTCAAATTGAATTCTATTTTTTGAATATAATCTTGTACCTTTTTCACTTTTCAGCTATAGCTGAATTATCACCAGACTGATTGGACTTAGTGGCCACAACGTCATTTCCATGTGATGTTTCCTACTCTCCTGTCACTTCTTGCACTCCCCTGCACTGTACTTTACCAGTTGTGGGGGACACAGAAATTCTGTATTATTACAGTAGAGTAGAAGACATGGCAAAACTAAAAGTCAAACAGTGGTTAATAAAAAAAGAGATTAAAGTCTGTTAGAAAACATCTATAAAGTGAGATTACTGGAGAGAGATTAAGTCTGGTTTTATCCCAAAACGACAGCATCAGCCGTGATGTTCACATATAAAAATATTTCATCTGACCTCTCTTGTCATCTCTGAGGACCACAGCCACCAACCTGCTGTTAGCTAACACAGTGGTTGCAGGAGCGGCCTGTCTGGCATGCTACAGTACGGCGTTGTTGGCAGGATTATGTTTTAATAAGCTTATGTAAACACCCCCCACAGTGTGGTCTCATTATGGGAAGCTAATTGAGTCGCTCTGTCCCAGGTCAGCAGGGCCTCTTTGAACAGCTCAGTGTTTTGCTATAAAGAGGCCCATCTCTGCCTCCAGAACATCTGTCCTGTGGTCTGTGGAACATGTGTCTTCCCTTCAGGCAAACTGTTTGGACGTGCACATCTTCGCATCTTTGCACTTGCACATGTACAGTACATCGTATTTATGTAAACACAGGTGCTTCAGTTGTAGCCTTGAGGCAGGGGTAACTGTAAAAGTATTATAAACTATGATACCTTTCTGTTCAAGTAGATTCTTTGCACAAGCAATTCAGCCATTTGTCAGCCTAGTTTTTTGTCCTTTTTCCTCTCAGTCTCCTACTTCTCTTAGTTTCCTGGAGCCTTGCTCATGTTGTGATCTGTCTGTACACGTTTATATCCAATATTCATTTTTATTTTTAGCCATACCATCTGCATTGCAATCAACACAAAAACAACTAAGCAATAACTGGATTGTATTGTCATCAAATTTGATAGAGATACTCATGCTCTCAGACGATGAAACCTACTGATGATTTCCTGATTTTTCCTCTAGAGCAACCGTGAGACGGACATTTAGGGCTTTTAGTGAAATGTGTCAACAACTGTTGAGTGGGCTGCAACGGAATTTGATATCCATTTTCACAGAGGATGAATCCTACTGACTTTGGTGATCCCCTGACATTTTCCTATAGTGCCACTTGTATGTCAAACCTTTCACTTTGATACTTATACAGTCAAATTACTCAACATCTATTAGACTGGCTCAAAATGTTACAAAAATATATTCATTCATGGTCCCCAGAAGATAAAATGCTGGTGAACCCCTGATATTTCATGTAGTACTGCCACTAAGTTAAAATTTGTAGTTTTCATGTCCACCTCAGGGTGAATTGGACTAACTTTGGTGGTCCCCTGAAATTTTATAATCATCAGGTCAAAATTCATTCATTTGGTCAAACTGATGTAAAATTGAGGTATAATCCAATCGACAGCAGATCAAGGAAAAGTCTTTTAAAAAGTGCTTCTACGCTGACACCACCTGACCAGTAGTACTTTGGTTTATAACCAAATACTTGCAAAACTGGAGACACTCCCAACATCGTCAGATGTACTTTGTGTTTAGTGCTAATTAACCAATGTTATCACAGTAACATGCCAAACTATGATGGTGAACATGGTAATCTTTATAACTCCTAAACGTCAGCATTTTAGAATTGTCATTGAGAGCACATTAGCATGCCAACGATAGCAGTTAGCTTGAACCACTGGTCTGAAGACTCATAGTCCTACTTA